CCAAACCAAACACAAAATCCGCTTTTAGCAGGCAAGGCCTAGATAAACTGGCATAACTCACCGCAAAACCAAACAGTTAATGTTTCATCCAAATCACACAAATTCAAAATAACAACTCACACACAGGTGTTAGAAAACCAACCTGAGTTGAATAAAACTTGTTTGAACAATGATCTGAAGGTAGGCTGTGCCCAGATTACACTAAAAATTTGTCAAAAGGCCGGTCAAAAACCTAGAATTGCGACGGAAAAAGAGGAAAACACTCTGAAACTCTCGCGTCAGCGATCGCAAAATTAGAAAGAAAAAAAAAAACGTTTGATACAAATTTTATAAGCTTTCGCAAAACAACGATAAATCAAAGGTTTACAGCGATGCAGAACCCCTTTGGAAACAGAGAACCCAAACAATCAGTCACGGATCCAGGATTTTAAACTCGGGGGTCCCAATAATAAAGGTCAAAAAATTTATAGACAAAAATAACATCGAAAAGTTAAATATAATACATTTCATTCAAAAATCATATGCAAAACAACATTACAAGCTATAAAATCCTAATTCAAGCGTCCACGTCGAGGTTTCATAGTTTGAAAATGTTCCATGATAGCTTCATTACCAATACATGAAAAACATCTTTCTCAATGTAAACAACTAAGCTGTCATTCAACCATTGATCTCCTATTTTGTTGCAAAGTGGACTCTTACGTTATGTTTGGGTGAAGAAATTTAAGATTACTAAAGAATTTAAAAATGACGGAAATTGAAATGACGATATTTTATTTTGTAGAATTTGTAAATTTTCTTGTTTGGTTAACCTAAAATAACAATGGAATTAAATACGGAATTTGTTATTTTTAAACTCTCAATCATAGAAATTGAGAAATGACACCAATTTACATGGAATTTGAACTTGGGATTTGGAGGTCCCAAATTCCAAGTTTTTTTTCCACGCGGAAATTCTAAATTTCTATTTTTTTGAATCCAAACAAAAGATTAATGATATTCATAGCGGAAAATGCCCTCTTCACTGAAGCAGTTGCAACTGGTAAAACCAAAGCCATCTGAACAAGCAAATATACATATGCAAATGTTCGATGCAACCCTTTCTCCACCATTTTCTTAGCAAGCTCATTAATCTCCCGCAATTGAGAAAAATCATTATCAGAACGCACAAAATGGGAACTCATACTTTGTAGGCCTACAAGGTCCCATTTGCAAATATGCTCTTCGGACCTCATCTTGAATATTAGAAGGATAGTCCTTCATTCGAATTTTTTTTCCCGGGTCTCTCTCAAGATTATTAAAATCAATGTTACACTCATTTTGTCGTGAGCTCGAACTACCCGAACAAGTAGATGGTGCTACTGGCTTTGGCTTGAAAAATCTTTTCATATTTCTTATTTCTAAACTACACATTTAACCAAAAACACAAAACATATACCAATCAACCAATAAACAAAAAATCCATCTAAATTTCAATGATAAAATGAGTATACAAACATAAAACATATCAACAATCATATCAATAATAGACTAAAAACTCCACCAATATCTAATATAATTTAATTGAGATTAGATTAGAATACCAAAATATTTACTTGAATTTTAAACCAAATGGTGGTGGCTTGGAGAATTGAAACAAGTGAAGGTATGATATTAGAGTAATGTAATTATAATATGGGATTAGGTGGGATTAGAAATTTAGGGTTTTGGAATTTGGTGAATATAAGAAAGATGGGGGGATTAGGGGGCAAAACAGAGGAATGGGGAAAGGACTCTCGGGAAAGATGGCTCGTGTGGGGCTAGGCCTTAAAAAAGAGAGTATGGAATCATGGACAAACAGCACCGTTTGTCTCAGGCTTTAAACAAATAAAAAATAAAAAATTAAACAAATTAAACAAATTGGCCAAAACACTGCGTTTTGGACCAATTTTTTAAAAGGCCTGTTTGTTTTCTTTCTTCTCCCCCGCGGCCCTATTGTCTTCTTCTTCGTTGCAAGCTGCAACCTGCAGCACAGATGTCGTGGTCAAGTACGAGGGGTCCTCCGAAAATTTTCTAGTAGAATTTTAGAATCGCCGAGGGGTTTTGGGACCTCCCAGGTCCCTCTATAGATCCATCTCTGCAAACAATCCCCCAAAAAAGAAAAACCAGAATTTGCAGTGAATATTTTACCAAAACTAAGAACAGAAGATTTAAGAGAAACTAAAAGCAAGAGCAAAACCAGGAGAGAAGCAGAGATTGGCGAGAGACAAAACACAAACCGAATGGTAAAGCGATGAAAACCCAGTGGAATCGTAGAGATGAACGATGATCGACATACGGATCAAATGGGTAAAAGCGACTTTTGACTGTAGAAAAAGAGAAAGCAGCATGTTCTTACTAAGACCATCTCCAGCAGAAGGATTTAGAAAGCTAGAAGACCCAAAATAGCCCGAAAATCATCTCTAACCGAGGGCTAGGCCAGAAGGCTTGTGGGCCCCACAGAATCTGAAAGGGCCAAAAGGCTGGCTGGCTGGCTGGCTGGCCAGAAAATAAAACAATCATGTTGGTTAATATATTTCTGTCGGTTATAACCGATAGGATTGCTTAAAAAAAATTTGAATCCAACGGCTAGCTGAAGTCAGGTAGCCGTTAATTTTGAATTTTTTATTTTTTATTTACAAATTTTTTTGGGTAAAGTACAAAAAACTACCTTAACTATTGCGATCATGACAGTTTCATACCTCATCTTTTAAAATTGACAATGTCATACCGCATCTTACGAATTTGTGACAATGTCATACCTCCGTCAATTTTTTTGTTAGTTTTTCTGTTAAATGCTGACGTGGCAATAGACGGGGACCACTTTCTATTAAAAAATTAATAAAATATTATTAAAAACTAAAAAAAAATATTTAATATTTTTTAAATATTAAAATAATAAATAAAAGTAAAATTAAAAAAAAGGGTAAAGTACAAAAAACTACCTCAACTATTGGGGTTACGACAGTTTTATACCTCATCTTTTAAAATTGACAATGTCATACCGCATCTTACAAATTTGTGACAATGTCATACCTCCATCAATTTTTCTGTTAGTTTTTCTGTTCTGACGTGGCTTGATTCGGGACATGCTTTCTATTAAAAAATTATTAAAAACTAAAAAAAAATTATTTAATATTTTTTAAATATTAAAATAATAATAAAAGTAGAGGAAAAAAAAAACCATCAGTTTGTCCCACCCCTCCCCCTGCCCCTCCTCTCTCTTCTCCCCATCTTCATTTTCTTCCCCCCACCTGCAAACCCAAAAAAAAAAAAAAAACAAAAAAAATTTTGAAAACCCAACAACCCCCTGCAGAAGAACAAGAAGGAGAAGGAGGAGGAGGAGGAGGAGGAGGAGGAGGAGGAAGAAGAAGAAGAAGAGGAAAAAAAAAAGGAGGAATGAAAAAAAAAAAAAAAAATTCCCCCTTATCGACGCGGAAGAAGAAGAAGGGAGAAGGAGGAGGAGGAAGAAGAAGAAAGGAAGAAAAGGAGGAGGAAGAAGAAGAAGATAAGGTATGAAACTGTCTTGACCCCAATAGTTGAGGTAGTTTTTTGTACTTCACCTTTTTTTTTAATTTTACTTTTATTTATTATTTTAATATTTAAAAAATATTAAATATTTTTTTTAGTTTTTAATAATATTTTATTAATTTTTTAATAATAAGTGGTCCCCTTTATTGCCACGTCAGCATTTAACAGAAAAACTAACAGAAAAAGTGACGGAGGTATGACATTGTCACAAATTCGGAAGAGGCGGTAGACATTGGCAATTTTAAAAGAAGGAGGGATGAAACGTCGGGACCGCAGAGTGGGAGGTAGGGGTTGGGACTGACCCATTTTTTTTTTCCGGAACGTCGAGGAAATCTATTGTAAACTCCATTTTACAAATTTGTTTCATAGTTTTTTTAAAAGTCATTTTTTCTATAACTCTATGTTACAAAATTTGTTTCATATTTTTTTATAAATTCCATTTTTTTCTAAACTTCATTCACAAAATTTGTTTCATATTTGTTTTCCTAAACTTCTACAAAATTGTTTCATAATATTTTTCAAATTCCATTTTCCTATAACTTTATTTCAAAAAATTTGTTTCATATTTTTATAAATTCTATTTTTTTCCTATAACTTCTATTTTACAAAATTTATTTCTTTTTTTTTTAAATTCTATTTTTTTCCAATAACTTCCAAAGCCATTATACAACATTAAATTAAATTAAGTAACATGAAACAACATTAAACAATATGAAACAACATTAAATAACATTAACCAACATAAAAATTATACAACATAAAAAAAAACATTTAACAACATAAAACTTAAACAACATTTTTAAAAACATTTAACAACATAACGCCTACTCCATGCTTCTTTTGGCCCAAAGATGTGCAACAAGATCTTGTTGCAGGTACTTGTTTGTGGCACAAGAACGTATCATTTTATAGCGCCTCATGTACTCATTTATAGAGATACTATTAGTTCTTGGATTGAAAGGAAAATTAGGCCCATCATATATTTTTTCACGAGCCCTTCTTGACCTATTTGGATCTTTTTGGTCGTCATCGGACTCTCCATCAATATACCCATCTCGCTCATCCTCCAGTATCATATTTTGTAATATGATGCAAGACATCATGATGGAGTCCAAATTTTCTCGACTCCAACCTCTTACCGGTTCGCTAATGATCTTCCACCGTGCTTGTAAAATATCGAAAGCTTTCTCAACATCTTTTTGGTATGCCTTTTGCTGTAAGGTAAACAACTTTTCCGGGTCATTCCTAGGGTTTGGAATTGCTTGGACAAGTGTTGCCCACTTTGGGTAGATGCCATTTGCCAAGTAATACCTCATATTGTATTGACGGCCGTTGATGTAGTAGTCAAGTTGAGGTGTTTTACCTTCCATCAGGAGATTAAAGAGGGGTGAACGCCCAAGAACTGTAATGTCATTTTGGGATCCAGGGATTTTAAAGAAAGCATGCCAGATCTATGTGTCATATGAAGCAACCACCTCTAACACAACAATTGGCTTTCTCGACCTTCCGCTAAAGCCTCTTTGCCATCTAGTGGGACAATTCTTCCAATCCCAATGCATGCAGTCTAATGACCCTATTATGCTCGAAAACCCACGGTCTTCAGCTTTGCAAAGGACCCGATTCAAATCTTCTTGATTTGGCTCACGGAGGTACTCGTCTTTGTAAACCTGAACAATTATGTCACATAATTGTTCAAGAGTATCAAGGCATGTAGACTCTGACATACCATGGGTTTCATCCATCGAATCAGCTAAGGAACCATAGGCCATCATTCGGAGTGCAATGGTAACCTTCTGATGAGGTGAGAAATCAAGACGGCCTACTCTGTCCCGCTTCTGTCTAAAGTATGGATTGACCTGCTGGACATCATGAAGTAAACGCTTGAAGACATGACGCCTCATCCGGAAGAGACGTCTGAAATCCTCTTCTATGTACACTGAGTTGGGGTTGAAGTAGTTGTTCATCAGATTGGTATACGTCATTGCTTTGTTTCATGGTTTGTCAGAGCGACCAGCAATAGAGCCACCCCATTGAGGTTATTCCTCAGTTGGCTGACACACCATGGCTGCAGCCATGACTGTTGCTCTGTTTTATTTGTTGCACCTTACTTGAACTTCTTCATCAGACTCCTCATCTTCTTGTCTCATTTGTGCCCATTTTTCTTCTAATTTGGAATTGGATGAGGACCCCTAGTTGGAATCCGAAGAGGATCCAAAGTTGGAATTCATTGCAAACTTGAATTGAAAGAGATTGAATTGAAATAGATTGAATTCAAAGTTGTGTGAATTATAGCCCAATATCCACCCTATTTATTGCAAAAAAAAATTCAAATCCAATGGCTAGCTGACGTCACTTAGCCATTGGATATAAATTTAAGTTGTAGTTTTTAAATAATAAATTATGTTTGGCCCTCAGTTGGAGATGGAGGCAAATATGGCCATTACTGTTCATTAAAAAATTAATATCTTGGAGGACGAGAGGGCTAAAATGAGTCATTTGACCAACCCTTAGTTAAAGATGGCCTAAGGGGGATGTAGTCAAACTTGGATTTGAGAGGATTTTAAAAGACTTTAAAATCCTAGTATAGTCAATTAAAAGATTTTAAAGGATTTTAAAATCCATTCAAATCTTGGTGTAGTTAATTAAAAGATTTTAAAGGATTTTAGAATCCATCCAAATCTAAGTGTATTAAAAAAATTAAGATTTTGGAGGATTTCATTAAGTTGTGGATTTTGTGGGATTTGAGAGCAAAAAGTAGATATAACCAAGATTAAAAAGAATCCAATCTCACCCCCTAGGATTTCAAATCCTTCCACCACAATACGTTCAAATTCTTTAAAATTTATATGGATTTTGTAAGAGTCTTTAATCCTCTTAAATCCTATCAAATCTATCACTTTTAAAATCCTTTAAAATCCTTCCGTCTGGACACTATAGATCAATAGTAACACAAAACTGGGTTATATATAATATTACAATTCTTTTCTATTTTTATAAAAAAAATTCTCTTTGACATGGTAGTCGAGAAAAAAAACATGAACGTACAACCACTCTTGCATTTAACTTATGTCTTGACCATATGGACATTAATTTTCTGGTTGAACTTTCTTTCCGAGTCAAATTTCTGGGTTCTTTCATATTCTCCAGTGTTATTAAAAGCCAAAGAACTTGTGGGTTTGACTGAGCACTATCTCTAGCTCGGGTCATTTGGCTTCAATTTTATTAAAACACTAAAAAAATTTAAGCCGTTTTGATGGCTTTCTTAATACGTGATACCTTGTTGTGCAAACAACATCTTCTTGGCAACATTTTCATTTGTTGCGTCTTATTGCTTACTTGTATTTTCAGCTTGGGTGTTGAGAGTGATATCAGCTGCCTCAAAAGCATAAAAGCCTCACTTGAAGATCCTTCAGGCTACTTATGCCTTTCATGGGATTTTAGCTATACCACCGAAGGCTTCATCTGAAAATTTCTTGGAATCGAGTGCTGGCACCCAAACGAGAACAAAGTTTTGAACATCAGGCTTTCGGATTTGGGACTAAAAGGTCAGTTTCCTCGGGGCTTATCAAACTGCTCAAGCTTAACTGGCCTAGATCTTTCCGGCAACAAGCTCAGTGGATCTCTTCCTGAAGATATTGGCAGAATCCTTGCGTTTATTATGACTCTTGATCTCTTATCGAACAGCTTCTCGGGGAAAATTCCCCCAGATTCTTTCGAATTGTAGCTATCTGAATGTGCTTAAGCTTGAAAACAATGAGTTCTCGGGTGAAATTCCTGCACAACTTGCCCAGCTCAAAAGGCTCTAAACATTTAGTGTGGCCAACAATAGTCTTTCCGGTCCAGTCCCAAATTTTGACGGTCCTGTTTCATTCGGACCAGAAAGCTATGCCGGCAACTCCGGACTCTGTGGAGGCCCGTTGAAGCCTTGCCAGTAGAAGCGTGGTACTATGGTCAAAGTTTGGAAGTCGAATGATGTAGTTATGGCAGCAGCTGGTTTTGGTTTTCCCCTTTTTTGTGTTTTTTCCCTGCGAGCTGCTAGCAGGGTGCTGTATTTCATGGTGTCTCACGAGGATTTAAGTCGAAATAAATCTGATCAGTAATTTGTATCCAATCGTGTATGCAAATAATCTTGTACTTGAAAATGAGAAATTTTTCGGCGTGACTTGAAAACTATGAATTAAGAAAGAGCTAGGTAGTTCCTGGGATTGACATATGAAGGAATAATATGGCTGAAATATTTCATATATTGAACAGAGGGTAAGTGGCCCATATATATACAAATACAAATAGAAAAGTCAAACCCTGATTCTAATCCTATAAAGCCGTGATCCACAATTCATGGAATAGCCTTCTCTAGTTTAGACTAATACAATATTATACATTAATTACAATATATTCTTAATACTCCCCCTCAAGTTGGAGAGTGAAGATTACGAACGCCCAACTTGTCTCGCAGCTTCACAAATTGATCCTTCCCTAAAGCCTTTGTAAAAATATCAGCTAACTGAAGGAGTGTAGGCACATACATAGGACGAATTATACCAGCTTGTAATTTTTCTCGAACAATATGGCAATCTATCTCAATATGCTTGGTACGTTCATGAAAAACAAGATTTGCTGCGATGTACAAGGTTGCCTGATTATCACAAAATAATGAAGCGGGAGTTTTCTGGGGAACACGTAAATCTTGTAATATGTATCGTAGCCAAGTTATTTCTAGGCAAGTATTTGCCATAGCACGGTATTCCGCCCCAGCTGATGACCTGGACACATTATCTTGCTTCTTGGACTTCCAAGAAATAAGTGAATTGCCAAGAAAAATACAATATCCCGTAACTGATCTTCTGGTGGCACGACATCTTCCCCAATCAGAATCACAAAAAGCTTTCAAGTCTAGATTATTGTTGGCTGAAAATAGTATACCTTGACCTGGAGTGCCTTTGATATATCTAAGGATTCGCATAACTGCATCCCAATGCGGTTTCCGTGGCTTGTGTATAAATTGGCTCAAAGTACGAACGGGATAAACGATGTCCGGTCTAGTAACAGTGAGATATATCAGTCTCCCAACTAACCTTCTATATTTAGTTGGATCATTCAACAATGCTCCATTTGTGGGTGTAAGTGCTAAGTTTTGTTCCATTGGAAAAGGATCTGGCTGTGCACCGAGTAACCCTGAGTCTTGCAGAATATCAAGTGCATATTTTCGTTGTGACATAAAAATTCCCTTTTCCGATCGTGCGAACTCAATTCCCAGAAAATACTTTAGATCACCAAGATCTTTGATGCGGAAGCGTTTGAAAAGGAAGGCTTTGAGTTGTTCCATTTCTTGGATATTATTTCCTGTGATACGTATGTCATCAACATAAATAAGAACAACAGTGATTGAAGTACCTCGAACCTTGGTGAACAAGGAATAATCCGCTTTTGATTGATGATATTTGGCTTTTTGAATAACATCCGAGAAAGTGGTGAACCAAGTTCTAGATGCCTGTTTGAGTCCGTAAAGGGACTTTTTGAGCCGACATACAAGATTCTCCCCCTGTTGGCGAAGACCTGGAGGGCGTTCTATGTAGACTTCTTCATGAAGAGTGCCATGAAGAAAGGCATTCTGAACGTCTAACTGGTGAATGAACCAAGTACGGGCAGCAGCAACGGTAAGGAGACAACGCAGAGTGGTGAGTTTGGCAATGGGTGAAAAGGTTTCCTAGTAATAAACTCTCTCAATCTGTGTGTATCCTTTTGCAACAACACGAGCCTTGTAACGATCAAGAGAACCGTCAGACTTGTACTTTTTTTTGAAAACCCATTTGGAATCGATAGGCTTATGACCAGCAGGAAGAGGGACCAAGTCCCAAGTGTGATTATGTTGTAACACATCTAATTCTGTGTGCATAGCTTGTTGCCAGTTTGGATTAAGGATAGCATCAGCAAATGTGGTGGGCTCAGATAGACCTGTAATGTTAGCTAAAAAGGAACAATGGGCAGAAGAGAAATGAGAGTTGGAAAGAAAATGAGATATGGGATAACGGGTACCTTGTGCAGAACGTGGTGCCAGAGAAGAATGATTGACGTGGTGAGACATATGGTAGTCTTTAGTCTATACTGGTGGTTGTTTGGGACGAATGAAATGCCTGAGAGAAGGGAGAATTGGGGGGGGGGGGTGAAGAGATGGGAATATCAGGGTCAGGATGAGAGGCATTGAGAGGGGTAGGAGAAGATGTAGGGGGTGCAGGATGGGTGGGTACGTGTAGTGAGGGAGAAGAGGTAGACACGGGTTGTGGAGGAATGTCGGTGAGGGATGGAGCATGTGGGATATTGGGAGTGAGAGTGTCGGCATGTGGAAGAGCAGTATATGGATCAGCGCCAGGTGGGGTTAAGGTAGGAGGTTGATCGATGTGATTGGTAGGTGCATGAAGCGGTGGAAGGAAATAGGAAATAGGAGAAAAAAGGGTGAGGTCCTGATTTATGGGGTTAAGGGTAGTGGTATAAGAATCAGGAGATGAAAGATTGGAAAATGGGAATGAAGTCTCATGAAATATTACATCACGGCTAATCAAAAATTTTTTAGTGTCCAAGTTGTAAAGTTTATACCCTTTGTGACTTGTGGGATAGCCAACGAAAACACACCGGTGAGCTCTAGGTTCAAATTTGTGGGTAGGGTGGACAACAGTAGCATAACTAAGACATCCAAAAATGCGTAGATGCTCAAGGGATGGTGGACGTTTGTATAATAGTTCAAAGGGTGATTTGTTGGAAAGTAACGGAGAAGGTAAACGGTTGATGAGGTAGACGGCAGTGAGCACGCATTCACCCCAAAATATGAGGGGTATGTTAGACTGAATGCGTAAAGCACGTGCCACTGCAAGAATATGGCGATGTTTGCGTTCCACGACCCCATTGTGTTGAGGGGTGTAAACACAAGTGCGTTGAAGTTCAATCCCATTAGATTGAAAATAATCCTTCATGGATAGGAATTCAG